GTGCTGGAAGTATTTGCTCTGCTGCAACGTGTCAGGCATGTTACTGTATGGACTGATGTGCTGCCATTGCATTGTTGCACATTAATGGAACAAAACTAGAGCCTGCAAAAATAAGTCAATAAAAATGAGTGCATTTAAAGAGAATAATATTGGTGCTGAATTTACTCCGAGCAAACTGGTGGGAAAAAATGCCTGGGTGTGACTGAGACTTTAAGCAGTAGGTGACAATGGTGACATGGTTACGAAGGCAATGACAGGGAAAAACAGCTTTCTCCGTCTTTCCCCTCACCCCTCATTCTCAAAAAATGTGTCCTCAAAGCCCAAACTCTCCTGATCTATCAGATAATTTGCTGAGGTGAATAGCTCCCCATGTGGCAGGTTGGGCTGTGGTCACTCAGCTGGAAAATCCTGTTTCTGGGTGCTGAGTAATTGTAGCTAAGCTAGGAATACTTAATAGTAAACACAACTTGAGTATTTGATGCTCAAGAACATAGCTGTGATTGTCCCTTACAAACACAGCAGGATATGTGTGTGTGAGAAAACCAAGGAGCGTGTTTATCTGGAATTACATGGCTGTGTAATGCTTCATTATATCCTTTGGCAACACAAACCACAAAACCTAGATTTGCCACAAGGACAGGCCAGAATGAGGGAGGACAAGGATGAGAAAGGGCTTGAAAGCAGCAGACTTGGCCTCCTGCAGCCTTCCATATGTGGTCCCCACTGGTGTACACAGGGCCGGGTTTACAGGGGTCCCATGCCCCATCTGCAGAGGGAAAACTGCAACAGCATGTGGGAGCTATGCCAGAGCTCGTCCCACTCTCTGTAAACGAATGAGCACAAATCTCAAAGGTTGTTAAGGAACCCAGGGGAGGTATTGCATGCAGTTTGATTTCATTCATTTTTCAGAAAGTAGATAAGAATCAAGATTTTACTTCCAACTATTCCAGCCCCTTTTATCCTGTACATTTCCAGTAAGCACCTCAAATACATCTGAATTATCGCCATAGTTTTTTTTAACCAAATGTTCATCTTTTCAAAGACAGTTTAATAGAGAATTACAACAAAATGTGATGTTTTCACTATTATTTAATGTCGCACATATTGCATTTTGTAACATTAGAAGAAAAAAAAAACAAAGTAAACCTCAAAGACAGAAAATAAATATATACTTTTATGAATGTACGCAGAGAGAGTGCAAAAAATTGCATCTGTAAAATGTTTAAATGCTGACTCATACAACAAAATCTTACAAAAGCGCTTATTTCTTTAGACGTCAGTTTTCTTATAAACACAAAAATATTTTAACAAATCTTACAAAGATCAAACCCTTTTGCCCTTCACCAGGATAAGAGTGGTGAAGAAAGTGTATTACCTGGAAGAAAGGAAGAAACCCAGATAAATAAAACGTAAGTTCAACCAAGTACCAGGTAAACGACCTCTGAACACTGAAGAGGATTTCACCCTCGTGCAGCACAGTGCAGGAGACAAGTCCCTCTGAACAGCAGGGGCTGACCCTCTGCAGAGGGACTTGCTTCCTCCCGTTGCAATTTAATCATTCCCTTCCATACCATCTGCCCAGCACAGCAATAGAAGCCCTGTGTCCTGCTCCTGCCAGCAAGAGCTGGGGGACCACGGCTGGGCTGAGCCCAATGCTGCCACCCAGCAGGGTCTGTGACTGCTGCCAGTCCAGGTTGCACTCAGGACCACGTCTTGGTGCTGGGCTCAGAGCTCAAAGTACGCCTTAGAAACAAACAAAAAAAGCACTTTTTTTTTTTTTTTTCCCCCTCAAAAATATGCAACACTGTGGCAGATGAAGAGTTCTCACAAGTGGACACTTGGTGCCCCTGATGCTGGTATCAGCAGGGGATATAGCAATTCGCTTTTCTTTCTAGACCTTAGGCTAAATGAATGCCAAGACCAGCCCAGCCCCAAATAACTCATCTGATCTGAGGTTTCTCTGAAATAGAAACAGGCAAGTAGCAGATACTGGAAAACTGAAGGAACAGAGGTTTGCTGTGGAATCTGTGTAAGGTAGAGATGACGGGGGCCCTGACAACACTCCAGGAGATGCGCATGCATGGTGACATGGCCCAGCATCACAGCTGCAGCGCTGCAGTGGCTCAGCACCACACATGTGTCCTGCAGCTGGTCGCCCTACAGCTGGTGGCACTCATAAAGCCACTTGGACAAAGTCCCTCTTCCACCAACCACATCTGCTGCACATGTCCCAGCAGCTGGAAGCCACCAGGTGCCTTCCTGAAACGTAAGAAATTCACTGCACATACGCTGCAGCACCGCACATTCAACCTGTCTGGGATCTCCCAGCACGTAGCCACCAGAAGTAGCTGCACCAGCCTGGACATCCAGAAGGCACAGACTAATGAGAGAAGTCCCTAGTTCTCAGTTAGGAAAAGAGAAACCTCCTTGGGCAGAAGGGGTAAGAGAAAGGGAAAGAATGAGGTCATGTCCTCTAAAAAGCCGGTGGATCTTGTCAACCATCATCATCTTGTATAGTCCAAATTGTGGCAGTCACCAAAATGCACTGCTAGGAAAATACTTTCCCTAATCACAGTATTTGCTTGATACAGAGAACTAACTTGAGAGGTCATAACAAGACATAACAAAGCACAAGTAAAACATAGCACAAAACATTTACTGCAGCAAACCATAGGAATTTACCTTGCCAGGAACACAACGACTTTCTCCCCAGGAAAAAGAGGAAAGATTTCCAATCTGAATGCAACTAAAATAAATGTATCATACAGTAAAATGTATCACAGCCCTCAAAATCTGTATTTTATAATTACAAAACATAAATTATGTATGAATTATATAAATAATGAGTTTTCAAAAATGCTTTGGATCTGCATAACTGAACGCAGTGACAAAACAGACCTTTGGGATTCCTGTTCTGCAAAAGCATTATGTTCTTGCTACATTACTTAACTAACAAGAGGACAAAGAAAAAAAGAGATGGAAGGTTTTTCATAATCTTAGCAGTAAGTTCACCTTTCGACAGAATGCAGAAGAATCAATTCTTTTCATTCTAGGAAAGGTACATCTTTGTGTTTTTATTGCAATCCACAAAATTTAGGGCCTGGTCTTACATGTGAGAGAGATATCTTACCACTGCTGTATGGCTAGAACAGTTAATCTGATCTACTGTATATTTCAAATTATCTTACTGTACAAGTTCACTCTAGAAAGATTCCAGGGGAATGGGGAAGGTTGTTGAGTGCCTACAAAAGAATCTTTCTTGATGTATATAATTGAAACATGTATATAGGCTGTGATTTTTTTTTTTCACAGCATATTTCCTAGAAATGTGAGGCTTAAAAGTTGTAGGACTCTAACAAAGCAGTCCTTAGTTACGTATTCCAAGACCACCTCTCGAGTTTAAATGTAGTTTTTCTAAACAAGCCCAAGCTGGAATTTTCTACCTTTGGTCATTACCTCAGCATCATATTTCTTAAAAAAATCTGTGAGAAAATTGTCAGAAGGCTTTTATTTTCACATAAGGAAATCTACTAATTTCACTCTAAAAATCTTTGGCCTGAGACTGGGGATGAAAAATAGGATCTTAAAGGGAATCTGGTCTGAGGAAGAGAAGAGTGACTGTGAAAAGGAAAACACAGTGCAAAACAGATTTCAGACCTTTAAAGCAGCAGGCACTGCAACACAACTGCCTGCTGCAGTACCACAAACAGAGCAGCTAAAAGTTTATTTTGCTGTTAGTTTGTGGAAATGGAGTTGATTGCTGTCCGCTTGTATCTCCAAGCAAATATGAAGATAGTATCCAGTTTCTCTTAGTTTATTCAAGTAAAAATTATGTATATTTTAAACTTTTCTTTGGACCTATACTTTATGCTATGTTACTGGGCAGGTAACAGTACCTAGCCCCATAAAAACACTGTATAAATACCAGTTACTGTAAGCCCTCATGTTCTTCTTAGAGTTAACTAACTTCATGCACCACTGAAAAATAACCAACTCTTGAATGTCCACCCTTACCATCTCCCATAGGTCTACAATAACATAACAAACACTGCAGAGATATGCTATAGCATGAGAAGCATTTGCTTCAGGTGATGGAGCCAGGCCAGGTCATATGCCATAGATCCCAGCTCCTACAATGCACCCAGCTCTGAGTTCTCTCCCCTGTGTGTTACCTACACATGTCCCAAGCCAGAAGGAAGAAGGATAGATGGTAAGGATAGAGAGTGGGAAGGCTGGCAGTAACGTATCACATCTCATAGATAGAACTCAAGAGAGTGGACTTACGTTGACTCAGCAGAGCTAAAAGCAGCTAGAACCTTTCCTCCTCTACTCAAATTTTTTAGTTACTATTTGCCATGCTATTGCAATAAGTTTTTTATAAAATGATGATTCTTTATTTTATTTTATTTTTGGCCTCCTCCGACATGGAGGAGGCTGAGGTACTTAATGAGGTTCTTTGCCTCAGTCTTCACAGCCAGTCAGGCTTCTCACACCACTTGTGTCCTGGAAATTCTCAGTGGGGATTAAGGGAGTAAAATCAATCCCAGTGTAAGAGCAGGGCAAGCCTGAGACCATCTCATGAGGCAGAATGTGTACAAATCAATGGGGCCTGATGACATGCATCCCAGGGTTCTGAAGGAACTGGCTGGTGTGGTTACCAAGTCAATCTTCATATATATTTAAAAAATTGTGGCTATCTGCCAAGTCCCTGGTGATTGGAAAAGGGGAAACATCACAAAGGTGGACATGAGCCAGCAGTGTGCTCTTGCAGCTCAGAAGGCCAGCTGCATCCTGGGCTGCATCAGAAGAGCGGTGGAAGAAGGGAGAGGGAGGTGATTGTTTTGCCTCTACTTGGCCCTTTTGAGGCCCCATCTGGAGTATTGTGTTCAAGCCTGAGGCTCCCAGCACAAGAAAGATATAGAGCTGTTGGAGCAGGCCCAGAGGAGGACCATGAAGATGATCAGAGAGGCTGGAGAACCTCTCCTGTGAAGAAAGGTTGAAAGAGTTGGGCTTGTTTAGCTTGGAGAAGAGAAGGCTCTAGGGAGACATCACTGCAGCTTTCCAGTACTTGGAGGGAAATTACAAGCAGAAGGGGGACCAACTTTTTAGATGGCTTGACAGTGATAAAACAGGGGGGAATGGCACTTAACTAAAAGAGGGGAGATTTAGGTTAGATGTTAGGAAGAAATTTTTTACTCAGAGGGTGGTGAGGCTCTGGCACAGGCTGCCCAGAGAAGCTGTGGGTAACTCATCCCTCAAAGCATTCAAGACCAGGTTGGATGGGTCCTCGGCATCCTGAGTTGGTGGCTGATAACCCTGTCCGTGGTCAAGGTGTTGGAACTAGAAGATCTTCAAGGTCCCCTCTAACAAAAACCATTCTACTATTCAATTATTTCTCTTATAATTTTTGTTTTTTGAAAGAAAGAAACGCTGCAAAAAGTCTATTGTTCATATTGTTCTTTGGAAACCTTAGATGTGTGATGAGTTGGTACAAAATATTTGTCTACTGGAAAACAAGAGATAGGGCCCTACTGCTCCCTGAACTTCTGCACAGATGAGTTAGTTCAGCCATATGAGTAGCTCACAGTCCACTTAAAGCACATACTCAGGAATTCCTATGCAATGAAAAGTCAGGATATACAGAAGGATATACAGTACACTGTGCAAAGCCTTTTAAATAAAATAATCCTAAGATTTCTAGCTTAAGCTCTGAAGTATTTCTAGAGCTTTGTTCTTTGTCAATTTGTTCCATCTACACAGTGAAAGGAAGGTGTACCTGGAGTTCATGTTTCTTTATCCAGTTTTTGTGGATATTTACTAAACTCTGGCCATTGCTATCAATCTGCTACTTTGGCGACCAGATTTGCACTCTGGCTCTTAGGTTGCCCTAAAACCTGGATACTGAATTTCCTTTGGTAACCCCGCTAGACATCTAAACTGGTACAAGCAGTAAAAATTGAACATGGAAAAGGCACATTTTATCTCTGCTATTTAGTATGAGTCTCTGAAAGATGTTACCCTGCACTCAGATTGAGAAGTTAATAAAAATAAACAGAATAGTCTTGCCTTCCTAGACTTTATAGCTATACACGTATGTGCTGCTTTTATAAAATATTGCCCTATAAATCATTAAAACAAATTGCCCCTCTATGGACACAGCTGTATTATCTTTAGAGACCTTTTAAAGAGCTAAAAGAGGTGGAAACTGTAAACAGCCTACTAATGTCTAATAGTGTATTCCGAGCAAGATACTGCCTTCAGTTGCATTCCTTTAACAGAGGGAAGAACTTGGTAACTTCATTAACATGGCAGTATTAATGAAAAGTCAGGAGAAACATTCATTTCACTGAGCATCTGCAAGGGAAAGAGGAAGCAGGCAAAGAAAGAAACTGGTTAGCAGAAATATGATCACAAAACACAAAAAAACAACTAAGTTCAACACGCAAAGACTCTCAGTACTTCACAATGCTGGTTATGGTCAGTGAGACTGTACAGCTCTTATACCTTTGTTCTTCAGGCTTTCTTATAGTAAGACTCTTAACTGCAAGTTCATAAATAAGCTGAAGATGACAGTAGTGCCATAAAAACATCGGTAGAAAAATAGTGCAAAGCCAAGGGCTGGATACTTTAATATGCCATAACTGCCCCCAAGCACAACCATTACTATTCTTAAAAAAAAAAAACAAAAAACAACCACATACAGAAAACATTCTCCACTTATTATAAATTGTAGTTGCCTGCATTGCACTTTACATTTAAAATGTACTATTTTTCTGATTCCCTTAGAGGCTATGGATGAAGAATAAATACAGCCTTTCCAACTGGCGAGCACCGCCACTGGTAACAAAATCAGACAGCATTTATAAAATAAATCAAAGTAAAAGTAAAACAGACAGTATCATTTAAGGCCTCTGTCCATGCTAGTCTGCTCAACAGACTGCACTTTCTTAAAATAAGAACATCTACCACTTCTGTTACAGGAACCAGAGGGCGACGTTAAACAAAGGAAGGTCACATTTATGACTGCCAAGAAGGCGAAGTTCCTGAGGTTCAGCCAAATGCAACAGAAGAGATGCTCTTCACAACATTCTTCTGGTGCCTTGCACCGTGTGCATGCAGGAGGGTAGACAAGAGGAGGAAGAGCCTGAGACAATTCTCAGACCAAGCATCTCATTTAAATATTGCAGCCCTTATCACAAGGGGTTTGGAATTACAACTGATCACATAGTGCAAACTTGTATCAGTTCCCACAGATATAAAATGCACTGGGAGCCCAGAACAAAAGCCACTGCAGGCCAGGGTTATGAGGAGCACCAGCCATTAAGGAAATAAACTCAGGGGAGCAGAGTCTGATCTCAGGTACTCCTGAGTGAGCCCGAAGTAACTTCAGCTCTTCAGGGAGGTTTCAGTGAATTTATATTGGTGTAACTGATAGTAGGGTCTGAATCAGTTTGACGGTGAGGCACCAAATGAAAATGAAGGCTGTATTAAATGACAGATCCAGAATAACTAAAAAATGATATGTAACAGTTTGTTAACCTTGAGCAGGACAGAAGAAATATCCACCTGTGGACTGATGGTTACACAGCATTTCTCAAGTATTTACATCAGCAGGTTCAGAAGGTCCAAGAGAGGGTTTTCCTTATCCTGTTGTGAGTAACATTACAGGGTTCCTGCTGCTATCCCATGTAAACTGTTCAAAAAATATATACTGACTTCCTAGAAAACAAATTGTGCATTATGCACTCAGTACATCCACGGACATGAGGTCACTGTATACACACACAACCAAGATCCCAGTACTGAACAGAATAGAAGCTGTATCACCACCTTTCCTAAATTATTAGATTGATGGTGAATTTATACCCATGCTACTGACAAAAGGTATGCCCAATGGCAAGGAAATATACAAACTCCTTATATTTCAAAGTAGATACAGCATGTCTGATCAGAAAAAAACACAGCTTTCTCAAGCTAGTCCAGTCTCTTAAAAGGCAGCTCTCCCTTAGAAATAGTTTTGTTGGCTTTTAATTGTCATTGGAATCAGTAATATAAAACTCACTGATTTCAACGCTGATAGAAATGCCATGGTTGCCAATTCACAGAAAGCTGTCAAATACATTTTTTAACAGTTTGTTACCTCTAATGGGATGAGCTGGCAGACAGAAAAACATCAAGCCTCCTCTCTTCCCCTTTTAAAATGCACTCAAAACTTTCAGAGACTTTCACCAAGAACTAACAGAAAGCATGACAGTAACAACTGGGCCTGCAAAAGCAGATTAATACTGCAGAATTGATTCATGTGTGGCTGACAGAAGATGGTAGAGTTCTAGCAGTCTCAAGAGGTGGCTCGTACTTGAGGGTATGAACTACTGAATGGTGTTATGTTTTTCTGTCAGAAAGCAAAAACATATACCATACTACTGTACAATTATCTAGACTTCTCCCACCTTGTCACTTGTTATCAATAGAGTAGCCTGTAGAGAATAGGCACTTATCCCAAAAATTGGCCAAAAAGAAAAAAGAAAAAAAGAAAAAAGGGAAGCATTATTTGATAGGTATGGCACCAAAATCCAACTGTTGTGCTTTCTCACAAATGTATACTGTACAGATACAGGCTCAAACAGACACAGACTTTTAGGTTGTAGGTAGGCTATGCTTTTTCTTTTTGCTTCTGCAAGATTTGCAAATGCAGCAGATGATGCATGGAGATGCCACAAGCAGCAAGGGAGAGGTCACCAGTGCTATGATACCTAGTCCAACGAGGATCCCTACAACCTGCAAGACATAATGGGGAAAAATACATATTTAGCTAACGTGAAAAACAAAATGCATGTGCATGCATAAGCACGGAATAAGCTAAAAAATGAAAGCATGAAAAACAATCTTGGTTCTCTGCTGAAGGGTAAAATCTCTTTGCTTCACACATGCATGATTGTTCTGCTTAGCTGACTAGGAACACACCTGCGTCCTGTTCCACATCACCGAAGCACGCGAATGGCCGAGCTTGTTTCTGCAAGGGCCTTTGTCATAATGCCTTAAGAAGATGTCATTCTAAAAAAAAAAAAAAGAAGAAGAAGCTGAAAGAGGAGGTTACAGTGTGGGAACTGGACTGGAAATACAACTTTCCCGACACTGCCATAAAACCACCAGCTGCTGACAGGCAAACTCATCTGTCTTCCAAATATTCATCCAGAGAAACTTCTTGCAGTCCCAAACAGTGCAGTATATTTAGGACCCAAGTTATTGTATAGCTCCTTCCCTCACGTGCTTTTAAAAAATGTTAAGTAATATGCATTGCACTTACTGCACAGTTACCTAGTCTGTTATTTGGTGATGCTAAAGGGGCTTCTGAAGAAGATATTTCAGGAAGTTTGCAATCTCAGGTATTACCTTCTGAGATACTTCTACCTTCTGTTCTGCTATCCCTCCAATTTCTTCATAGATTTAACAAGAAAATAATTATAAAAAGGAAAAAAAAAAAAGGAAATGACCGTTTCTTTTTTCTTTTCCCAGCAATACTGGATTGTCCATTTTAATTCAGAATGTGACAACTGCTCCACATTACTCTCCCCTTTGCCAGCTGCATTGTAACATGATGCTGCCTCCTCTTTCATTCTTCAGCCTCATTCTTCAGCTCTGCAGCTGTTAGCTACATCTAAACCTGGTGTTCCTGTAACCTTGCTCATTTAGAAAGACTGTATTTGAACCACATAGCTACAATTTATTTTTTCCTTTTTCCTCCAGAACAGGCTGAAACTTAGTGAGGACATATCTACCAAAACTGTGAATCTGATGGTCTTCCAGCTCAGCATGGTGTTAAGCAAACACTGTGTACTGTATGTACTCTGAGGCAAGCCAGAAGACAGATGCTGAAAAAGTGCACTCCCACATCCAAAAATAGGGCATGATGTTAAGTTAAACATGCAACAAAGATTGAAGAATGAGGAAGTCTCATTGTTTGCTGGCTGTGGAGTACAAGAAAGAAGAAGAAAAGCTGTGCATCTTTCAATATTTTATTTCAAGTGCTGGAAATGTTATTTTCACACTCCCACATTTGTTACCAGTGACTGTGCAAGCAAGAGAAACTCATGTACCAGAGTTCATTACTTCTTGTAGTCTTCATCCTGTTAGAAGGACTGAGGTCCACAAAAGCTGAGACTAGCTGGTATCATTTGAGAAACAACTAGCTACTTGCATTTCATAACCCACATTCATAATCCAACAGCTTTATCATCATATCAACTGATCTTTCTCTTCAATGAACACAGCACTAGAGATGGACTTGTAAAGAGACCTAATTTATATGAGCTCTTAACAGATCTTCCCATGAAAATTTTTCCCAGTACCATGCCCTTTTTGGACAGTCTGTGATCCACGTGGCTGGAGAAGGTAGAAGAATTCATACTCTCAACCAAACCATTTGTAGCTACTGCACTGAAAGGAGACATTGGAGAAAGGTAATGCTGTAATCAGCTTCCAGAAAGTAACCAGTACATCTCATTTCCCTCAAAGAGCTACCATGGGACCTCTGGATATGGCTATAATCCTTTATGAAAAAAAGAATGTTGAAATAAATAAAAGCACTGGATGAAAAAAAGGAATGAAATTAGCATCTGAAATAAGCCAAGTTATTCCTAGAACTAGAATTCCTAGGTTGGCAGAGAACTTTGTGTGGAGCTTCAGACTAACTTCAGCCCCCAGTAAGCCTCCATCTAGATATTTTTTTCTCTGTGGCACTTACATCCAAGTTCTGTAGGCAGTACCAGCAAAACGTGTGCTTGCAGTTCTTGCACATCATCTGAGCACAGCCTTCATTTCTCTCAATATAGATCCGACAAACTGGGCACTGCTTAATTGGTGCTTCTGTCTCTGTTCCGATAAGCGATCTAGAAGAGTAAGGAAACATTAAAGTGAAATGTAAATATAATTACTGCTGATATTCAGCTTCTAATGTGGATTCTTATTTTCTGGAGCATCTAATGTTATTGGCTTAACACACTTAATGTGTGAAGCTTATTATATTCAATAGAATACACTGAAGTATATCCACTATTAGATGTAGGATTTGACATCATATGAAAGTGAAACTCCATTCTCGTGGTCTTTAATGCTATATAAAACCAACATGCACAATTTAAAATAGAAATTAGACTGGAATTCTATTTAGGAAATGCCAGCAGAGATGGACAGTATCAGTGATGCCATTAAGAAAACAGTTCCATGAAACTGAAGTTAGACACAGAACAAACACCCTATGCCAAGAAGAACTAGCACAGCCATTGTGGGTTTTACTCTTACCCCTGCTCTGTTGTTACCAGAGCTTGGTTTTCTGGGCACGGGCGCTGTGGGTGCCATGCCTCTTTACAAGAGGAGCAGAACATCATGTGGCAGGCTGGGCACTCCACTGGCACTGGTGCTCCCGACTCATTTGGTCCAATGCAGCACACTGTTTGGCAGTCTGCTGCAGGACACCATGTTCTCTGAGGGTCCAAATGGACTTCTGAAACAAAAGAAACAGACATAAAGCTATTTATACGGCCCTGTTCTCGTTCTGGTGGCATGCTGAGGTATGCAAGACCTGGTTCTGAATGTGCATGGGGAAACTGAAGCCTTCTGAATCTGTGTCTGTGGTGTCTGAGGCTACTTCTCTTCCTCATGCAGGTGTAGAACTGAGTTCTTCAACAGCTGCTGCACTGGATGCATCATAATAATGGCAATAGACTATACAGGACTTTTTGTTGCTTTTATAGGGAGACAAAAACAATGAAGGTAACTGCTGCTGTCTGAAAAGCACGTGTCTTTTGTAATGGTAGGACATTACGTCTTTCACATGTGCAAGCCATGCCATATCTCTCATGTTCATAGCAGAAGGACTGTCATTAAATTAATGCCAGGTCTCTTTCTGTGACTTACATCTCCCCACCATCTACAAACTGATTAATATTAGCATTATTGGTCAGGTCTCAGATTACAACAATAGTCAAGGTAAAACAGTGGGTGGAAACCATGAGTTACATACAGTGGCACGTGGCAGTGAATAATAAATGTCAATTATTTCTCTCACTTTCTAACCTTCACTAAAGCAATTTGGGCTTGCAAGAGAAACCCAGACAAATCACGTTCACTGCTAGGGTTGCCTACTACGTACTGGTTTACACTGCTCAAGTCCCTGCAGTGAAGCCAAATGCTCCCACCCCACAGAACCTCCTTAGGGCTGTCATGCTGTAAAGAGCTACCTGCATCTCCTCTCGCCCTGGAAGCTCTCTGATACCAGCCTTGAAAACAGCAATTCATAGAAATATCTTACTGTGAGATGTCAATAGCCATTACAGAATTATTCTGTACTCTCAGCTGATAAAATATTGTCCCACTTGTAACAATAGGCTACACAAGGACCTCTGAAATATGTTCTTTGGCAAATTTTGCTGAAACAGTTGAAGGCATTTCCTTCTATGCACACCCCTTTCTGCACTGCTCCTCTGCAGGACATTGCTGGCAACTCACATTGAAAGGGGCTGGTGGATGGGTATCTAGCAGAAGCTCCAGCTGGCATGATAAACAATGATATCAATTCAGATCCAGATATCCACAAAGTAGGAATTGTACAACTAGAAATGTGTTCAGATAAGGAAAACAGTAGATACACGAACAGTACATAGATAGAACATTATCAGTAGATAGATAAAAGTAGATACACATGCATAAACACCTGGGAGAAGGACATCCCACAGCCTTCATAATCCACTGAAACTGAGTTATCTTCTAGTATGTCAAACATCTGTGTTCTGCTTCCTTAAAGCTAGGAAGAAAAAAAAACCCTCTAACAGGCAATATCTTCCCCTAACTGAAACAAATCAACTTCAAATTAATCCATTAGTAGTTCAGAAACAATAGAAACAGACAAAACTATCGTCTGTAAAACTATTCACATATTTGGGGTGATTTTTGGCAAATGGAGAGTAAGTTTTCAACAATCATACTAGCAAAGCCACAAAGCAGATGGAACACTGATCCAACATAGTTCTAATAGTTGAGAGCAAACACGTAAGAGAAAGCTCCTCTGCTCAAGGCAAGCTGAGCCTCATTCTTTTTTGAAGGTGAGGATTTCAGACAATCCTATGTTTGGATTTTCATTTCCATGGATGCTACTCCAACCTACATGCATAGCAGTGGCAAGGAGAACACCTGGGAGATGAGGTGAATACCAGCAAAGCAGTCATTGACCGTTTCTGTCTTAAAACCTACCTCACTCTTATGTGCAGAACATGGAATATTTCCAAAAGGGCTTTGCAGGAAGGCCTAATTCAGGTTATTCCAAAAGTAGAACTTTAATATGAAAAGTGGGAGACAAAGCTTTGAACCTGTTCCAACAAAGACTAGCACTCAAATCTCCCATATTTAAAGTTGGCATGATGAGTCTGTGTGGTGTGGGATAACACAGCTTTGCTGTGCTCACTTATCTTCCATCTCTCCTGCCCAGTTCTGTATGACACTTATAATGAGGAACCTAGTAAGGATAACCAGCTGATCTGCTGGCTGAAGGGCACACAAGTACTTACTCCAACTAAAGGTAATATTTTAGTCTGTCCTCTGACAGATGTGGAGACTTCACATATCCACGGCAAAGGCTTTAACCTATAATTTAGAATGTGTCAGCAAAAACACCCATACTACCTTATTTGTAAGCCACTTCATGAATTGAGTTCTCTTCTTTCTCATTCTCTTACACATGCTTCCTCTACTCTCAAAAGCAAACAAATATTTTGCCAAAAACAGCTTGTACTTTCATTTGCGGGGAGAAAAGAGAGACAGTGATGGGCAAGCCATCCAAGCTTCTTTCAGAGATGATGCTCTGAACTGGGTAAGACCATGCCCTACTACTGACTGTTGCATTTCAGTCTTCACACAGTATGTTCCACACTATTTCTGCGGATAAACAGCAGTTAAAGGAAGAAAAACTCCAGTGCCTGCGGTATGCTCAATTTTGGAAACACAAATTCACCTATCCTGTTTTTGGATGAAAGACAGGATGTCTGGTTTTGACATTCATTGGAAGAAGGGCTGTAAATCTTACTGATTTTTACAAATTAGTTGCAGCAAGATGTGATGCATGAAATGAAATTCCCTTCTCTCCCACTTCCTCCATTTTCACAAAGAACCTACAGATGGTATTTTGCAATCCATGCTGTCTCATGCTGTTTGCTTTACCATGTAGTACAAGTGAAACCAGAAAAAAAAAACAAATAAATAAAAAGCAGCAGTCAAAACAAGGAAAGAAGCTATTATTTTACTCTGATGAGATGTTCGATCTTTTGGTTAGGGCTGTTTCTCCCTTAAGCCTTTTCCTTGTGTCCCCACAGCCATTTCAGCCATACTCAGTCCACTTTCCCAAACAGTGCCTGTGACAGGCAGAGATCTGGATAGTTTTCACAAAACATACAAGCAAGTAAGATGCAGGATGCAAAGGTGGGAAATGTAACATCCTGAAGAAGAGAGAATATCTGGCTTCCAAGAGGTGCCTACTGAAAAGATGAGCGCATGCCTTCCACAGAATATGAGGAATATTTCCCTTTTGATGGACTGTTTTTCCATTAGACATAAAGTGGAGTTTCACATCAACTTTCACTATTGGGCAACTGTCATAGAAATATGATGCATATGTTCTAACCACATCCTATTCTTCTATTTTGTTATTTCTGATGGCCACATCAACTCCATCATAAACACAGATGCAGTAATTCCTGTTTTTTTTTCTATTAAGATAAATTACATAGAAGCCCTGTGGCTAGGTCATGACTGCCAGCATGTAAGTTAATGATATGTAAGAAAGCTTGATTTAAACCTGAAAACATCTGTGTTCTAAGAACACAGCACAAGAAGACTGGATGCTTTCAGTACATTCATTATCAGATGAAGAAAAAGCATATGGGTATAAAATTGTATACCAATTATTTCCCACAAACTTTTAACCCAATATTATCTGTCTATTATAGATAACGTAACAGAGAGGAAAGATACATTAAAATAGGTAGCAAATATGGGAGGTGAGTAAAACAGCTTTGGGATGCGTTAAGTTCTTCGGGTCATCAAAATTTTCCTCAAAATTCATCTCAGAATCACAGAATCATAGGGGTTGGAAGGGACCTCTAGGGATCATCACGTCCAACCTCCTGCTAAAGCAGAGTCTGCAGGCTCTCACCCAGGAACTGGACTGAAGCTTTTCTAAGAAGTTAGCTCATCTCCTCTAAGAAAATCAGTCTCTCAGAAGATTCAGCTCCCTTGCTGATAGTTGATAACAGTGCTTAAATGCGTGTTGGTCATTGGAAGCTCCATCAAGATATAGCTCACATCAGCATCCCAGCCACTGCAACTTCCCTTTAAAACAATCTTCGTTCCCCAGAACTTTACTCTTTTTTCACACTTAAGAGCCTACACTGAACCACAGAACCCACTCTCCATGACAAACTGAAAGGATAGAAATTTCTAAACTTTCCACCTTAAGGCTCATTTTCAGCCCTGGGTTATTTTTATGTCCATTCTGTGAATGTGTCAAATGTTTGGAACTGAGAATCATATTCAGAAAGCAGACTGTTTATGAAGGAAAGGCCTTTCTTTGTGGAACAATCTTGGGGTTTCCAGAGGCAATAGGCAGGAGGGGTATGAAGAAACAAACAGGAGAGTTTGGTGATGTTTCATAGTGGCATTCCCATCTTTTCTACATGGTTAAGCACTGCTAACGTTCTTTTGTTGGCCACAGAGCTTGACTGTAGGTGGGCAATGTCTATATGGATGAAAAGCTTATTAATCACCAGAAGACTGATGAGAAAAAAATACAGATCAAGAGGAGAAACACTTGCCCACTAATTTAATAGAATCATAGAACCATCAAGTTCAGAAAACATCTCCAAGACCATCTAGTCCAACCATCCACCTACCACTAATACTTCCCCACTAAACCATGCTTCTTAGTACAATGTCTAAATGTTTCTTGAACACCTCCAGAGATGGTGACTCAAACCACGTCATTCCAATGCCTGATCCAATGCTTTTGGAGAAGAAATTTTCATAATATCCAACCTGAATCTTTCCTGATGTAACTTGAGGTCATTCCTTCTAATTCTATTGCTAGTTATGCTAGAGAAAAAGCTGACTATCACCTCGCCACAATCTCCCTTCAGGTAGTTGAAGAGAGCAATAAAGTCTCCCCTGAGCCTCCTCTTGTCCGGACTAAACAATCCCAATTCCCTCAGCCACTTCAGATCCCTCACCAGCTTCGTTGCCCTTCTCTGGACACGTTCCAGGACCTCGACGTCTTTCTTGTTATGAGGGATCCAAAACTGAACACAGTACTCAAGGTGTGGCCTCATCAGGGCTGAGTACAGGGGGATGCTTACCTCCTTGCTCCTGCTGGCAACGCTGTTCATTACACAAGCGAGGATGCTGTTGGCCTTCTTGTTGGCACACTACTGGCTCATGTTCAGCCACGCACTGACCAACACCGCCAGGTTCATTTCTTCCAGCCACTCAGTCTTTCAGCCACTCTGCCCTGAAGGGCAGCCTGGGGTTGTTGTGGCCAAAGTGCGGGACCCATCATTTGGTCTTGTTGAACTTCATTCCATTGGCTTCAGCCCAGCAATCCAGCCTGTTCAGATCCCTGTGAAGGGCATTCTTACCCCCAGGCAGATCGACACTTCCTTCCAACTTGGTGTCATCTGCACCACTTACTGAGGGTGCACTCAATTTCCTTGTCCAGCTCATTGCTAAAGACATCAAACTGAAAGGCACCAATACCAACCCCTGGGGAGCACCATTCATGACTGGTCACCAGCTGAATTTGACTCCATTCACCATCACTCTCTGGGCCTGGCCCTCCAGTTGTTTTTTACCCAGCAAAGAGGTTACTTGTTCAAGCCATGGGCTACCAGCTTCCCATTATACAGTTGGAGACAGTGTCAAAGGCTTTGCTGAGGTCTAGGCAGGCTATGTCCTTCATCCACCATACAGGTTGCTCAATCATAGAAGGAGATCAGGTTGACCAGGAAGGACCTGCCTTTCATGCTGGCTGGGCCTGATCTCCTGCTTGTTCTGCACGTGCTGTGTAATCTTACTCATGATGACCTGTTCCATAACCTTCCCTGGCACTGAGGTCAGGCTGACAGGCCTGCAGTTCCCTGGATCCTCCTTACATCCCTTCTTGTACATGGGAGTCACATTGGCAAGCCTCCAATCCTCTGGGACCTCTCCAGATGATGGAAAGTCCCCTTGCAATCACCTACGCCAGTTTTCTCAGCATCCCCAGGTGGATCCCTTCTGGCCCAAGGACTTGTGGCAGTCCATGTGGAATAGTAGTTTTCTGATAGATTCCATCTGAATCATGGTGCAACGTCTGATGCACAGACTCAGAGGTGAAAGTCTTTCTTGTACTCCCACATCACAGGGGCTTCATTCTGCTCCCTATCCCAACTTCCAGGTCAGGGGGTAGAGTTACCCAAGGATAACTGGGCTGACTTTTAAAGACAGATGTAAAGAAGGTATTGAGAACCCCAGCCTTTTCTTTATCCTCTGTGGTCATGTTTCCCACTGCATCCTGGAAAGGATGGAGATTCTCCTTAGCCCACCTCTTACTTAATGTATTTGGAAAAAAGGTTTCTGTTCTCTTTTATTACAGTGGGCAGGTTGAATTCAAGCTGTGTTTTTCCCTTCTAATTTTCTCCCTGCATATCCTAACAACTTCTTTGTACTCTCTGCCCATCCCTTTTTCCACAGGAGGTAGACTCTTTTTTTTTCTCCTGGAGCCTCAGAAAAATTTCTCTGTTCATCCACGCTGATCTTCTTCCCCACCAGCTCATCTTAGGGCACAGGGGCACAGCCTTCTCCTGCGCCTCTAAGACTTCCTTCGTGAGGAGAGAACAACCTTCCTGAAGCCCTTTTCTCTTCATGACTGAATCCCAAGGAACCCCCCTACTGAGTATTTTGAAGTATGCCCTCCAGAAGTCCAAGGTAGCAGTTTTACTGACCCCTCTCCTGACTTCACCAAGAATTTGGTTATTTCTAACACTTCTAGTAAAGCAAACAGGGTGCTGAAGCAAGATGGAGCACAGAAAGCCCTTATCACAAGAGAAGCTGAGAGCAGAAGTTGAGAGTAGAAGAGACTACATACAGGAACTTGAAGGGTTTGAACAGAGGGTTTTGTTAATCAGAATAAAATTAATGAAGGACGGTGTAGTACCTGTCTATTCTAAGAATCAGAAATTGGCCTATTGTACTTTCAAGAGCAACATCTGGAGAACATATTGCTTTAGATTTCTTTCCCTTACCACAGTGACTTCTCAGAACGAAAGAAAAAAAAAAGAGAGAGAAAAAAAAAAAAAAAATGCTAGCTAACTCAAACTAGCTGTTTCCAGTGCCTGGTCTGAAGAAACACTGAAAACTAAGAAGAAAAGGGAGCTCAAAATATTTCACATGTAAATTTTCTCTTTATTTAAGAAACCCTAAAAGGCTGATTAGAGCAATGCTACTACTACACCATCTTGCAGATCTTCGAAATGTTCTACGCCATTAAGCAATTCCAATGATTTAATGGGCCTCTGAAGATACACTTGGCTTGGTTTCTGGCTGACATCAGCTCTGGCCATCTGGCTGCATCCTGACTGAAGTTCATGATAGCCTATGGCTGAACACAAATACCAAGGGACTACTTTTGCTGTCAGTTCAAGGAGCCACCGAGTTTGCCTTAGGCCTGGTGTCAGAATGGGTCACAAAGGTACGTAGTGGTTGTGGCTGTCAGGAGACCGTGAGAGAGATTAGGGCTAGACAGCAGCGACCCAGCTTTTGCATATCATGAGATTTGAAAATGGCTAGGTTGTACAAGCGTTGATGAAAACACAAGCCACAGATCAGATCTCATTTGTCAGGAGTCCCAGAGTCAGAAATCAGTGCCAGTAGTGCCATCAGCAATGCTTACTGCTAGATTCAGAAAAAGATAATCAGGCTAGCATTGTTGAGCTGGGGTCAAGTCTGAGAAGACAGCTTCAGGCAAGCAGAAGCAAATCAGCTAGGCTCAACTGATGACTCTAGAAAGGCCAGTCCTAGGGGCAGTGCTAAACCTGGGAAGTATAAAAGGACCTTGCTGGGGTGGCATTAATGCTCGTGGCCAGGTTACAGTTTAAGTTATCAGTAAGCTGGCTTCATTGCTAAGAACACACAAGGCCAAAAGGCTCAGTTTAAACCTGCTGATGAGTTTTACTCATCATAGAGGAGAAAGGACAGATCTTAGAAATATCATGAAGAGAGGAAGTAGAGGTGTAGAGGAGATTTGTAAGACTTGGGCAAGAAAGAAAAGGGAAGGAGGATTTAAAAAATAGGCAAGTTTCAGGTTTCTATGAGTGGGAGGCAATGAAAAAAAAAAAGAAACAAAAACAAGATGTCACAGGGAATTGGACAAAAGATCATGAGTTCAGCTTTGTCTGGTTGTAGAGGAAGAGATACCAGGAAATCCTTAGTTTCAGTCTTCAGTCTCTTAACACAAAAGATTTTATATAAAACAGACAAATGAATTTCAAGAATGCCTCTCTTTCTTTAATATGATAATGTAACAAGCTCTGAATTCTACTGTTCAGGTCTGTAGGCAAGTCAGTGCTTTGCTTATGAACAGGTGGGACTTCCTAAGGAATTAAGAGTAAAAAAGAAGGTAGAATTTGAGATAGAATTCAAAAATGAAAGCTGCTCTTGGGATTTTTTTAAAAATATTCATCCTAAGTATATGCAAACCACAGCTACAATCTGCATCTGCCCATGAACTCTGGGACACATTTGAGTGTACTCGTTTTGCTGGTTTTGTGCTTCGTGTTCATCTCACTGAACTTCAGGCAAGATGAGATTCAGTAAAAAACATACATTCTTCTATTTGACCATCTTTTAAAGTGCATTAAGGTACGTTAATGTAAAACTCTGCAATTTCATAGATATTCCCAATTCATCAGCATCTAAGCATGCATATATAGGACGATAAAAATACAGTCTTTAGAGGAAAGGCAAGCAGAGTCAGGGCAGACCAGACCCACACACTATTCTGCAAGCTACACTGGTGTGAGTACTTAGAAAAATACTGCAACTTCCAACTGGGGCTTTCCAATTGGAGTCAGTCTTTAAAATCAGTGTGGGACTTCACCTTTCTGACTGGCAAGCATCTTTTTCAGCCTTGGCTAGGACTTGCCTCCTGAACTTGCCTCCTGAATCAGAATGCTGACTGCTAGCATACCTCTGACCTTCAATTTCAAACTGTGTTATTAATATGCCGTTTCTCAGTATTGAGGGGACCAATGATCCATCAGGAAAAATTTAAAAATACTAGAGGAACACGCACAAGGCTTCTCCATGAGAAAAAACTCTCTTCTAGGGGTGTTTGCAGATGTTCCTAACAGACAACAGGGTCCATCTCTCATAGTTTTGAAGATCCCCAAACTGGAAGATCCCTACTAAAGGATCATGTGTGCTCTGCACCAGAGCATCAGTCTCTGGCACCCTGTCTAACTCTACTAGCACTTTTCTCCCTGTACAACCACTGCCTCAAGGACCCACGCTGGACATATTGCAGGAAGGGTGACAGTGTTTCAGGTACACAATCTGTGAGTGCTGCCCACAAGTTTGAGTAAAAGGATTATATTTCAGTAAGGTGCCACTGTTGATTTTGTTTTATCAAAATCATTTCAAATTGGACTTTATGATTGCAGTTAAACAATTTCAAAATATTGATATTTTCTCCACCTCTTCCTTAATTTATCCAGTGGGCTTTGTCTTAAGGCAGAGTGCTTTACAGTTTGTTATATTGCTGCTTCCACTGACATTTTAAAAACCAAGGTAACAGAAACTGAAAAGTTTCATACCACGTTCAAATTTCAGCCTCTTGAATAGCTGAAACTGGTCAACTGGTACCAAATAGGCAATCTGAAATGACAAACAAAGAAAAAGCATTAGAAACAATTAGAGACTTGAGAAAAATAAACACCCTGTTCTACTTCTTTGCACTCCTGAGCCAGCTCTCAAATTCAACTTCTTTTCGTTCTTGCTTTTTACCACCACACTCATCCGTACCTGGATTTCCTTCTCCAAAGCATAAAGGAGTTCTTGATCTCTCCTATTTCACCCACATAGCCCAGTACTTCACTCATGTCCTTTTAACCATGCACAGGAAAGCCTTCTTTGTAGATGGATTCTGTATTTACTATTAAGTTTTATTTCGTGTTTGTTTAATGTATCTGAAGGTGACAATTAGCCAGCCTTGGAAATCAAAAACTGTTATTCACGGACAAGAACACGGGCCAAATGAATGGCTGCTCATGCATGTCTCCCAGTCGTTGTGGCAGGGGTCAGACCAGACTCAGAAACAGTCTGAGCCCTACCCAGGAGTCCATTCAAACACCCCCTCCCCTGCCCTGCCTCCAACACTGCATTGAACAGATAAGAAGCTTGAGAAGAAGCAAACTGCTCACACAGCAGGTGACAAAGTGCTGAAAGAATGTGAGCACATCAAGACATCTCCTCCTCCAGATGAAGAAATTAACCAATTATTCATTGCTACATGACAGGTTTTACAATAATCTTTTTTTTAAAGCTAAGTTAAAGTTACAATAGAAACCTATGAAGAAAATGAGAGGCTAGGACTCTCTTCTCCTGAAAAGAACTTGATGTGAGACTTATCAGAATGGCAGGAGTTGAAATAAGTTTTCTTGTTTTTCTATACTTTGTAAGCAACAGATAAAATTCTCTTGCATCAGAATACTGACAGTTCTCAATAGGAACGGCAGCTCCCACCTGAAATAAGAACAACCACGGTAAAAAGGAAAACTTGGAAGGCTCACTACCACTAAAGGCTCCAGTTGGACCCTTGCCGAGTGTCCCAAAAGACTGCTCAGTGTGGTACAATAACGAGAGGTGCTATTACTACAAAGACAAAAGAGCAAAGGAGAATGAAAGCACTGGAATCGAGTTCCGTTTACACGGGGGCAGGCTGTTCCTTGTACCTTGGGCAGTGCTATAAGCAAGAGCCAAGGCAGAACAAGTTCCCTGCCTTTGAACGCTGGTTATCACAGTGGTAAACAGAATTCCCTGCGTCTATTCTCAGGCTTTCAAAGGATATGCAAGGAGGCAATAAAGAGAACTTTAAAGATCTTACTTCCTTTCACACCCGTATGAATCAAGCCTTGATAATGCCACAAGAGGAGAGTTCATCAGGACAAGTGCTTCTCCTTTTTCCACACTAGCAAACTCACAGCAAGGAAAGATCCTGAACCAGCAGCACCAAGAGCCACTTGCAAAGGGCTGCCCTGCCCATCTCTGCTGAAGTTCCACTCACAGAGGCAGCATTTAATTCTGCTAAGAGTGCAAAACAGATCTAAGGTGGGCTGTGGATTGCAGGGAGATCATCCGGAGGTTCAATCTCATTGCTAGAAATTATGCTCACTCCTTTCTTTATCAGCTACCATACTCAATAGTTTAATCGTGAAATATTATTTTCTCCATCAAGGAGCTCATTTAATGATACATACAAAATGACTCATTTACCCCTCTTGGATTGATATAAGTAAATAACTTACTTACAACAATTTTAATTTTGACCCTGAAAAAGACAGGTCAACATTTTCTCACCTTCCTCCTCATTTTACCATTTCAATCACTTCTTGCAAAATGCAAACCAATTTTCAAATTAAAAATAAAACCAATATTTTAAACTGACACTCGATGGCATTTTTGCTCAGCTGTGTATGGAATACAACTGTAAAGACAGTAAATCATTCTAAGATTTGGGTCACCATCCCCTTTCTGTATCTGTTTGCAGAGTGCTGACAACTCTCTGCAAGATTAGCACTGGTGTAGACCAGGTATTCATACAGATGGAGGGACAAGAAACAGAAATTGTACTAACTTCAAAGGTACTATACTCCTCACTGAACTCATGAGGCAAGAGGAAAACCCACCTGCCTGCTGCAGGTTTTTATCAACAATTAATTAACAATATTAATCCAATTAGATTACATATAGATGGGTCACTGGCATCAGCCCTATGAGCTGCAAAACAGTACAGGCATCAGAAACAGCAAAGCACAATCCACTAGATATTATCCCAGTGAGTACTACATTGAAGCTTCAATGCACCCAAGACCTGATTCATAGTACTGATTCACAGCTTACACTGGTGATTGCATTTGTACCAAGTAAAACCATTTCAAATTGTGATAAATTACCCTTTCTTTAGATTAGGGATATTAACTGTTCCAATTAAATCAACTGAGTGAATTCCCAAGAGAGACAGGAGTGTTCTAGATGGAAGAAGTGTGCACAGTTGAAGAGGACTGCATCAGCATCCTTCTACCTCCTACTTCTGGGAACAAATCCAAAGCAGTTTCATTTATTGTACTTTTTAGAGTGCAAAAGGACAAACATCTTATCCAACAAGATTGCTTTTAAACTTTCTTTTTTTCATGTAACCAGCTATTTGAAAGAGTCTGGTGCCAAAACCATTGCCTTCCCACCATCAACACCCATTTATTTCTACTTTAAAACAAGCTATACTACAAGCAGCTGCTACCTTAATGTAACAGGCCAAGATACGATCTAAGATTAGACTTGATTTCAAGCACTCCCATGGAACAGTTCCTTCTATTTGAATGCACTATTTGTCAGAACAAAAAACTGGCAGGGAACATACCAGTTTCAGCTAGATTTTGTTATTATAAACACAAAACAAATCAGGGGGTTCAGAAAACATATTTTTTAAGTACTTAAAGTACAATTTTCTAGTTCAAATGACTTAAGTTTTTTAAGAATAAAAAAACCTGAACTGTTTTCTTCTGAGATCCAGAGACACAATGCTCTCGTTCACCAAAAGCTGAGCCTTAACTCCCAGCATCTCATATTCTGCAAATGAGTAGTTTACTCCCTAACCACAGATGAAGTATTTATGGGTTTTACAAAGTCACATTCTGGTTCTTCAAACTTGCTCATTTCTTCATGACAAGTATGGGAAGAAATTGTATTGTACATTTAAAAATGTTACCCAGAGTTTTTGTCCTCACCTGCCAAAAGCATCACAAGAAGCACGTGTGTCAGAATCAAGTCCAGAGCAGTCAAAAGGCTCAAATAATTTAGTACTGAACAACAGAAATGGAAGAATTTTGCTCAGAAGACAAAACATACTTAATTCACAGTGAAGGTATTTAAGTAGGTAGACAGAAAACACTAAAGAAACATTACACACCTTGAATAAAGACCTTGACAGAAAGTAGTAAATAATCTTCCATAACTACTACATATTATAAGTTGCTTATAAGCTTTATTACAAATTGTTCAGCTTCTTTAGTGAAGAGGACTCAGCCCATCAATATCAATGGAAAGGCTTTTCTTCACTTAAAATTATGCCTAAGTTCACCTTATCTCCCTTATGGAGGATAGGGCAAAAGGCATTTGAAAAACAAACAAGACAACTGTGTTGACTGACATAATTAGACACAGTTTAGCCCAAAGTATGGAACCAATTTAACAACATGTCTGTTAAAAGGATAATCTATTTTGTCCTTACACTGTAGCAGCACCTGCTAGTACAGGCAACAGCTACAACAGTCTCAGAGGAAGCTGTAACGCCTACTTCCATACACTAACATTTACCAAAAGAGAAACTCTGAAATGCACAAATTAAGTGGCTTGAAAGCATATGCTACTGGACAGGTGAGAAAGTGGTTGCCAGGGTTGTGTCTTTTCTCATGGCATTGTCCTGCTGAGGAACTTTACCTGCCAGAGACCAAACATCCAGACCGTCTGGAGACAAGGAGGCTGATACCTTCATGCCTGAAGTTTCAGAGTGTGATTTTATTCTGCACTTCTGTGCCAAACAATAGCCACACTTAACATCTTTAACGTCTTTATCAATGACATTGATGACGAAATTGAGTGCACCCTCAGCAAGTGTGCTGACGACACCAAGCTGAGTGGTGCTGTCAACACGGTAGAAGGATGGGATTCCATTCAGAGGGACCCCGAGAGGCTAGAAAGGTGGGCCCGGGTGAACCTGATGAGGTTCATCATGGCAAAGTGCAGAGTTTTGCACTTGGGCCGGAGGAATCCCAGGCATCCAGGAAGGAGAAGTCCTTGAGAGCAGCCCTGTGGAGAAGAACCTGGGGGTCTTGATAAATGAAAAACTTAACATGAGCCAGCAGTGTGCCCTTGCGGCTCGGAAGAGGGGTGGCCAGCAGGGACAGGGAGGTGATTGTTCCCCTCTACTCTTGTGAGGCCCCATATGGAACACTGCATCCAAGTGTGGAACCCCCAGTACAAAAAAGACAAGGAACTGTTGGAGAGGGTCCAGAGGAGGGCCACGAAGATGATCAGGGGACTGGAGCACCTCCCGTACAAAGACAGGCTGAGGGAGCTGGGCTTGTTCAGCCTGGAGAAAAGAAGGCTGTGGGGTGACTTCATTGCAGCATTTCAATACATAAAGGGAGCCTACAAAAAAGAGGGGAATCAACTCTTTGAAAGGGTTGATAACTGCAGAATGAGGGGAAATGGTTTTAAGTTGAGGGAGGGGAGATTTAGGTTGGATGTCAGGGGGAAGTTCTTTACTATGAGAGTGGTGAGATGCTGGAACAGCTGCCCAGAGAGGTTGTGGATGCCCCGTCCCTGGAGGTGTTCAAGGCCAGGTTGGATGGGGCTCTGGGCAGCCTGGTCTAGTATTAGATGTGGAGGTTGGTGGCCCTGCATGTGGCAGGGGGGTTGGAGATTCATGATCCTTGAGGTCCCTTCCAACCCTGGCCATTCTGTGATTCTGTGATTAAAGATATTTTGCACCATCTGAATGAGGATTTTTTTAATAACAGCTTTTAAAGACCACATTTTCACATGGAACAGCCTTTACAGAAAAGAACACAGAACGCTCATACAT